ATTTTTTTGCATCCCTATCTAACCATCGCTCTGTTTCTACACTCTCAATTTGATATCTTGAATTCGAATCCTTCGATGCCTTACCTGAAGTACCCGGGGGTCAGTGAGGGAACATAGTGGGAAGTTTCTGCCAGCTTGTTTCTTTCTGGAATCTCATTTTCATTTCATTTCTGTGAGCGATTCCTTTAACTGCGATGAGTAACATCGCCTAGATTCAAGCATGCTTTAGAATCCATTGCTACACTTGCATATAGACATCATCTCAGTCATGTCAATGATTTTTAACAAAAACATTATTTACTACCCTTAACACAGAAGATTGGGAACATAATTCATAACAAAACGCATTACCCATAAAAAATAAATATCTTAAAACAACATTTCAGCGACTTAGAAAGCAGGCTAAACGCCATAACAACACCCAGCACAAGTGGAATGGGTAGTGCACAATATTATAGTGGACTCACTGGCAAATTGCCAAGAGTTCACCTCCAAAAACAACAGTAAAACTATGGTAGCGAGTATCGAAGCGAATCGGGAAGCTGTCATTGAGGAATTGACCACGGACAGCTTCAGTATCATAAGCACATACGATACTAGCCTGATTCAAGTACCTCAAAGAGAGGCCAGGAGTGATTCCGATCGCGTACGCGCATCTGTCACCTTCTGAGTGAACTGTGTATCTTCAGCGCTAGCCGACTTCTGCTGACTCTTCTGCACGCTGGTGATGTAACCGTCAAGCGAATCCATAATGGCCTTCTCGTATCGCAACAACTCTTGTGCCTGAAATTCACCTGTGAAAGTCACCAATCAAAAAAATTATTGGAAATGTCACAGAAAACTAAACCACCACTGAAATCAAATGCATCAGACCCCTCATTCTTACTTACCAGATTGGTCCCCCGGCAACCACCGGGACCTCCTTACCTGCGTAAGCTTTACTCCTTCCAATGTGCTCCCATCCACTGGTGACATGGACACCTCGTGGAGGTGGCACGCATGCACAAAAAAGTGTCTTATATAGTAGAAGGCATTACCGTAATCGTGACATGACCTTAGAAATGATATTAATTGGACCTCAGGTCTTTCGGCGGTTAGCTCCCCTCGCCCTTCTCCATCTTATCCTATTCCCTCTACTGCTCTCCAGCTGCTATTGCAGCATCATGTGGAATGAATGAGACCATGCTCAGTAGGTGTTTATATAGCCGTTGGGGTGTTATCACATTGATAGCACTGCAAAACATTGATTGCTAAAGTCATAGTTACTCGATTTTGTTAACGGTCTGTTTACTTCACGAGTTTCCCTACCACTTCATTTTGCGGACGGACACACACATACATACATACATACATACATACATACATACATACATACATACATACATACATACATACATACACACACATACAGACATACAAACCGACACACAAAGTTAGCGCTTTATAAAATAGAAGGATTTTAGTACTTACGCTAAAGGCAGAAGCATCGACAACGAGATGTTGATCACTAGTGGGGCTAAGTGGTGCGCTAGTGAAAATGAAAACAAAAAACTCCACTTCAATTGAAAAAAAATTTCAAAAAAAAACCTTCGCCATGGAAAACGAAAAAGTATGATCACTGTGTCATACATCAGGCATCTGCAATGATCATTCTGCCACTGAAGACACTGGGATTGGTGAACATTTCCCAATTCGAAAGGAATTATATGAGCTTTGCTCCAGCGTCTGGTCATGCGTTTATTGTGTGCTTTCTGCCGCGTAAGTACTACGAATCGTTTACTTGATTATGCCTCTTCCTATACCCTAGATGAGCAGGATGTTCATTAAGACAGAAAAGCGGCTTTTCGCGTTTCACAGCGCGAAACATTTTTCGCTGCGGGAACCTCGCTCCACCGATGATCAGCGATGGACCTGAGATTCCCGCAGCGAAAAATGTTTCGCGCTGCGAAACGCGAAAAAGTCGCTTTCTGTTAGTGAACCACACCGTAAATGCACACCGGAACATCATTCAACAACGTCGTTTAGTAGGAAAAAACAAAACAAAAAAACCAATCATCTGCGCGAACACGACATCTCGAATCTCCAATCAAAAGGCTTTTTTGAGTTCGGTCATTTCTGTCAGCGTCAAAGAATAGAAGAGTCCCCAAGTTCGATGAGCTTGAGCTCAGCACCCATAAAGAGGAAGGTCCTGCCAAACGACGATTCAGGATTTTTTTACACGCAAAAAAACTCCATATAAACTCAATTCAATTCTTTAAAGACATGGGTCACTATTGAGTGCAAAAAGTGGTCTTTCCTAAAGTGGGGAGGGGTCCTCAAACGCAGGAAGAGCGACACTTTCGCGACTAAAAAGTGCGAGGCAGCGGCGCTAAGCCCTTGCCTCGCTGCCATACTTATCAATCGCAGCATGCGTGGTTGCCCTGTCGCGTTTTCACTATACTCGCAGCGCTGTCTCTCTCCGTCATACCTTGGCCAACCTCAAAAGAGATTCACTGTTTCTTTTTTGCTTTTCTCCCCCAACAGGTTCCTCACTTTTCAATATCCGAACACAATAACACACCGATACGATCCCGACAAGCGCCTTCAAGTGCCATAATTCACAGACTTACTTTCTGCCAGCAGACATTAAAAAAGTTTACAAAAAATGTGAAGAAGCATTCTAAGAAAATTTCAGCAAAACTCTAGAAATTCTGCATGTAACGTTCTCTAAACAGATTTTCGAGCTTCGAATTTACCTTATCATATATCTCCTGTCCTTCTTCCTTGAATGTAGCAATAGCGTTGGTCAATTTGGCGTTGATATCAGCGCGATCTGTTTCCAGTTGTTTCTTTCCATCCTAAATTTCACTTTTTGCAGACTACACTGAAGCCTATGACAACAATTTTGAACGGATACCTGCAAAGCAGAAACATCGCGTGTTGTTTTGTATTGACTGACGGCGGTAAGGAATTGCGAAAACACGCGATTTTTCTTATCTACAAGTTGAGACAGGGACGTCACCTTTCCCTGTATGCGTTCACGAGCCTCACGAAGAGGATCCTGGAACAACAAAAAATCTTCCTAAAGTATTCTCGAGTGAAATGCTCAACATTCTCCAAAATTTAATTCCTTTTAATCACAGCACGAAAAATCTCAACTCATGAGAGCAATTGCTAAAAATCACTTTCGGTCAATTTCCCTTGCACACTATGTGGAAATTGTTATGCTAAAATTTTTTTACATATTCAACAGAACTGAGCGCCTTCCCTTCCAAACTGTGCGCTTGATCATGCTGAGCTTTCATAACGCTTGAGTTTTCTCATGCAAACGAACTCTACGGCTAGTATAAAGTCTCCTGCAAACGAGCCGAAATTTGTCCCCTTTTCATTCTGAAAGAGGTCTCAATCAAACAATGACGGATTAACTCGGAGTTTGATGATTTAATTGTAATGACGCGTTCAACTAGCACAATAGTTGAAGATATCGAACCTAAGGAATTAAAAGCACCAAATCGGACGTCATGACGCACAATTGAATACGCTCTCGATTTCGATTGAATTTAATGCATCGAGGAATATGGAGAGAAGAAATCACTCACTGCGACAATTGTGAAGTCGAATCGCATATAAATAATCACAGCAGTGAAGAGGGCCAGGAAAAATGCGCTGGCAAGCAACGGCTCTCGAATCATGTACGTATAATCAAACTCATAGAAAAGCTGAAAGATATACATTACTAAATTCGATAGTTTCAATCGAGTTTTTTTTTACATTGAGATTGCTTGCATGACGAAAAAAATGCAAAAAAAATACCGTAAATGACTGAATATGTTCTTGCACAAGATTTTCTTTCTGCAACACAACAACGGTTCTACCAGTAGTATCGAGGTAAGTGGCGCGGACTTCATCTGGGCGACGATCCATCGTATATGGAGTTGTGAGCTTGATCTTCCTGAACGAAAGGGAGTTCAAGTTGAACGCAGGACGAATTGGAGAAGGGATAGCTCTCCACAAATTATACACCACGCAGTACTGCTACTCAAAGCTTGCAGGAAATGGCTCAAAAAATGTAGAAAAGCTCTAACTCTAGTAAATTTACGTCTTCTACCAAAAGGCACCAACGAAACCTGAGTTAAAATCATCTGCAATCATCTGAATACCAACAACCCTGCGGATGAGCAGAATATTCACAATTCGTGAGAAATCAACACAAAAATGAAACGCTCAAATAACACCACGCACTTAAAAGAGGGACAATAAGAGCACAGTGGAGGGTGTGAAGGATCGGAGGCAAAGCAATTCAAAGCACAATTAGTTTGAAACATACTTGACCAGCTCTGGAAGGACGATCTTCGTGGTGAGCTTCTCAACAACGGCATTATCAAATACGTGGTCAAGAACACGCATCTTTAACGCATACTCATTTCCTTTGTTGTAAAGATATTCGAAGGATGGAACATTGTAGCCAATAACGTATGAAGTACGCCATCCTCCATACAGTGGGAATCTCAAACGGCACATTTTTGAAGACAAAAACTACAAGACAGACAAAAAACTGCGGAGCATACCTGGGCTTGATTTCGACTTCCACAGAATCTGCACGAAGTCGCACTGATGACGTCGAAATATTTCCAATTTCATCACGATAATAAATGTCCTTAGCAGACGCAGGCAATATCGTCTGAAACGTAGCAGCATAAAACCCAGTTCAGAGCAGAGCAGAAGCAGACAACAAACCGTGAAGTGTAAAAGTGCAGGTTGACGACGTCCTCGACGATCCATCTGATGATCAAGCCGTGAGAAAGGACCCTAGAGTGTAAGTTAGAGACAAAGAACATGGAAACCCTCAAAAACAAACTCCGTGGGAGGCATTCATAATAATTAACAAAAAAAATGAACTTGAATTCACCTTTAGTTCAGCTCCCTTGTGCACTAACTCAATGTATTCCTCGACAGCAATATTTCCCCAGTGCGATACTTCAATTGTTCTTTCGATGGTCGTAGCCACTACGAAGGGGGCATTGTTCTCGTAGTGAATTTTTATCGGCTTCTTAATCAATAGAATTGGTGGAATGGTCTTAAGAATCCATAAGAATCCAAAATGCTAAAAAGTTCGGCGGTGTGAAAAGTAGGTGAAATGAAAACTGACGCTGTTGAAGGCTGGCTGATCTTTGTACGGTCCATATATACTCGCTGCAATTTTTCACTGACTAGTCGCGTCCAAGCTTGTGTAACAGATTGAGTTTCCCGCTACCAATTTTGACAGTCGTTTTTTCCTGAGCCACGGGATACGCAGCCGCATAATGAGCGTTGCCGTTATATACAACAAACCTAAGCAAGCATTTATACAAATAAAATTGAGAAATGGGGCTTAGAAGTACTTAGAAGATTGCTGATCGACTATTCCCACACCAAAAATTTTGGTAAAGGCATAAGCACCCGTAAAGAAGAAAGGCGATCACGATCAAAAAAAAGGAGGCATCGTGTTTAACTGATGCGTGTCAAATGAAACCAGAACAATGAAACAGTGGCGCAAGCACTTTATCTGAAAATACGCTTTTTGACTGCTCCAAAATGGTGGGACAAGACCCTTGTTCTCATTTGTCGTGCATTCAGAAATGCTATTAAAAGGGGATAAGATACCCCACCAAAAAATAGGGGGGGGATGAAATGAGAACGACAAAGACGAAAAAACTTACTGATTTTCCTTCTGCGTTATCTTTTCCGGTAAAGGCGAGAGCATTTCGGTGAACCTCTGTTCGACCTTCAGCTTGACCTCGCCGCCCTTAGCCACGCGGTTCAAGAGTTCGACTTTGTAGACCTGAAAAACGCATGAGATCACCATTGTGAAATGCCGAAGAGATTTGCGCGTAAGAAAACCCCATTCAATGTAAACCTCGTACCAAAATTACAAAAGAAACTACCTTGAAACCTTGTTTCTCTCCCGGTTGCTTCGAGATTTTCAGTTTACCCTTATTACTGCCTTCTTGAGCGCCATGTACGCTAGGTGGTCGCTTTCTTCAGTGGGAATCAGTACTTCGACAGCATTTGCCTCTGTTGACCCAGTGTTTGAAAGCGTTAGTTGTGATGACACCTTCACAATCTGGAATCATGGATTCAATGACAATCTGCCATTCACTGCCTTCATAACAACGTTAATGAGATTGAGATAAAGGATCTAGTATTGATCAAACTCTTTCTGAATGCACCACCTATTCAACATCCATAATCCAGGTGATTATTTGAATGCGATTTGGCCCATACAATGGCTGGGAGGGGAGAGGGTGGGAGCCTACCCAATAAAAAAGTCAGGATGGTTGGCCCGAGCAAAATTCGATGGGGAAACAGCTCTCGGACCGTGTGTGTGGAAATAGCGTCTCTTGCCAATAAACCATCTCTGCCCTAGTCTTAGGCTGGGAAACTCGAAAGATACTACAAATTATGGAGACCGGGAGCAGAAGTGGGATACTCATAGCAGGAGAAGGGCATTCACAAATGGCTTTCTACAAAAGCCGCGCAGGCAATATGGAAGAGCTTATAGGGAAGTAAGATTTCACTGCTAAGGCTGGTGTCAGAGTCTGCGACCGGTTGCGCAATTCGCGCGACGGATCACAGAAATCACAAGTGCCCGATCAATACTGCAAGGTGCTCTCCAATCCCGCCGCCATTTCTGCTTGATGGTGATGGTTGAATGACGACTGTTCATGATTCTACTTGTTTCATATTCAGTGTTTCAAATGTTCAAATGGGCACTTGCGATTTTTGCGATTCGCGCGACGGATCGCGGACTCTGACACCAGCCCAACAATAGATTGCAAATATTTATGAAAATAGACATCGCTACAGTAACTCAATCAATATTCCACTATACTAATCTTCATGGTAACCTCTTTGAAAACTTATTTATCAATTGATGGTGTCAAATTAACAAAAACTAATGGAGACACAAAACTAACCTGTGAAGAGATGTCGATGTTTCTCTCAACGTTGATCACCTTCCAATCGGCAGCAACCGCCAGACCCACAAAGAGGAATAATGGAAGTACCCGCATCCTCGAAAAAAAATAAACATTAGGAGTACGTTCTCATAAGAACTGTCAAGTATAGAAAGCGCTTCAATAATTCGTATTCATAAATGAGGTACACCTCAGAGAAGAGATTCTAAACATTCACGCCAAAACAAATTATGGGCGCTATCGCAAGACAAGGGGCCATCCGGGTGCAACGAGTTGTGTGAAATTCCCGATCCCTATTTTGCTCGACTTCCTTGAAGGAGCAAAGTACTAGCTGCTAGCCGTATGCCAATTCTTATGGTTCTTTGCATTTTGGGTACGTTTTGCGCTGGGTGTTGGGAGAAACTACCTAACTTCGTGATCCCTAAGACCAGAAGCCTAAAGCAAATTCAAGCACTTGATGCCATAGAGAATCAAAAAATCTATAAAAAAGCGCAGAAATGGAGTTCCTAGCTGTCACGAGGAAGCTGAACTGCGGTATTTACACGTACTGCTTTGTAAACACATGTTTCGTTTGGTTAGTCGCCTGAAAGTTTTGATGAGCATTGTACTGCTAGACATGTTCTCTCTTGTTAGCAACAA